GATTACTGTTCACGATTACTGTTCACGATTACTGTTCACGATTACTGTTCACACACTATGCTTTGATCTCTTTCAATAGGAAGTCCTAATATTATTTTGGACATATTATGAATTTGTTTGGCATGCGTATGTGTTTGTGGTTATGGAGTAAGTGGATCTAAACTTAAAGCTTGGGGTATTCAGTGGACCCTTCGGGATATTTAGTGGACCTCTGCGTAGTAGGGTTAATACTGTGATTAGCTTCGGTACAGTGTTGCTAGCACACCTCAGTGGACTCCATAGCATTGTGTGTTTTTCGATTTTATGCATTGCGCTTGTGACATCGTGTTTGTGGGCATATGATTTTAGTATATGAATTCAATTTAAATGTCATTGATTATTACTTGACATTTGTGCTTATAATTTGAGATATTAAGTCATTATTTAAATAGTGAGAATTATAATATTATGTGATTTGATTCCGTTGTGTCTTATGCTTTTTGTGTGGATAGGTCTAAGGATCTTAGGACCCAAGTTTATAACTTAAACTTACTACTTACTGGGCTTTTAACTCATAAAATTCCTCCCCCCCTTCATTTCAAATTAGTAGACTGGAGTAACGGCCACTTAGCTTGAGAGCTCTCGGTGTAAATCTCGTATGCCAACCTCAGTGTTTTCGATGTGAAGGCGGATTAATATATTACCAAAACGATAATTTTGCTTTTATTATTTTAGAAAGTATTTGAAAAGCAATTGCTTTCATGTATTTCTTTGTATAAGTTACTTTTATGTATATGGCATTAAAATTAATTTAAGTGGACATAGCCTAACTTATTTTATAACTTTAAGTATTTCGATATTTTTCTTAAGATATTTTTCATTTAAATAGTTTTCCTTTGCAGATGAAGGATTTTCCTTTTATAAAACTTTAAATTGTTTTGAAAGCAGATTTTTCCTTAAAGGAAAACGTTTTATATAAGGAGAGTTTTTACTTTCGCTACAATATTTTTTTATAGATAATTCTTATTGTACTTTTTATCTTGAGGAGTACATTTCCCTACTTGGTAAACTGAGAGGGTTATCAAAAAGGGGATGTCACAAATTGGTATCAGAGCCAAAGTTTTGCTAATATATTAATCTGTCATGTGGGTTAAAGTGTAGTGTCATAGGATTAGATTTTTGCTTAACTGTTAGTTTTTGCACTCTTTGTTTGTATTAGTCGCGGAGGAGGAGGATGAGTCAAGGAGGCAATATTTCTACTCCTACTGCTACTGATAATGTGAATGTCAGAAAGGATTGATGAATAGGTTGAAGTTCACGTGAAACTAGAATGGGATTTAGTGTTCGACTCTGAGAGAGGATTGTTAAAAGCATTTCATAGTGTGTGCTGAATGTTTTGCTGGGGTACTGTGCTAATTTCTAATTGATGTAGCAGAACGAGAATTAAGAATAAAAGGGAAAGGGAATTATTCTCTTTCATGTGAATATAGGTGGATAGGTTTAAACCCTTGAAATTGATAACAGAATCAAATTTTTGGTTAGTGTGTATCAACTCAACTAATATCTCTTGTTGATTTTTTGGAATTTTATTTCAACCCTAGCAGTAGAGTTGAATCTTCAGAAAGTAGATGAGCTGTTTAATTCATCTTTGGGACATAGTAACTTTTACCTTCAACTTGTTGAGCCTAAAAGAATTGGGTGTCTGGATAGCTTGTCCACTTTTTGGTTGCAATTTTGCCTACATGATTCTAGTTTTCTAGATCATTATTAATGTTATTTTGTAATCTTAACCTCTGTGTTATAATCAGATTCCTTTTGATTTCTGGCGCTAAGTATTATAGATATGTAATAGGCTAATAGCACAACTCTATAATAGAACCTTTATTTGCATAAGTGGTTTATTGCAGTCTCTTGTTGGAAATCTAGTAATTTATCTTTCTATCTAGGCCAACAATTAAGTGATGGTATCTACTTTATTATTCTAATATACCCTAGAATATAGGTGGGAGATTATTGTCAACTATCCAAACCATGGATATAATAAACAGTGCACATTTTTGCATCTACTCCTTCTGAGTATGAGATCACCTTGTTAGTGTTTGAACAAAATAAGTTTAATGAATGCAAGGTTAAAAAAAAAAAATGGAGGAATAAAGGGAGAGCAATAACACAAGGTGTTAGATGCTAGAATGGTTGAATACATATCATGTGTGAGCTAACATTTGGATTGTCCTATGTCTTTGGCTGTTTGAAGTCTGTTACGTTATTTTAGACCTCATTAACATATTGAGTCTATTGTTGAATGATATTATGCGATTAGAATTTTGTCATGATTGTTTAGTCTAAAATTTGTTTAGTTTAAAATGGAACAAAATGCAAGTCAAAAGTGAAGTATTAATTATTGATGTTTTCTAGTAGTTATGACCCTTTAATAGTGGTTATAAACTATGGCTAAAGGGTTGGATGACCAGGCATGCTTTGTGTGCTTTGGTGAATCAAATATGTCTATTGTGAATTATGCTAAGCACAAGGAGAGGTCAGACCAACATCTAAGTGTATGATAACCAAATTATGAACCCTATGACAAAGCATAGGAGGAAGAAAGAAATAGTAGAGTGGAACCTACTGTTAGTATATAGAAGGTGATATTAAGGAATGGTGAGAAATTTTTTATGGTTACGATCTGATTGTCCCCTACCTTTATTTTAAAGCAAAGAATATTTATGTTAGGATTTCATGAGGAGTATGATATTTTTAATTTATAAACTTTTGCTTTATTTAATGTCAGTTGAATAATTGCAGAGTTAATTGGTATAAGGATATCATTAATGAGAATTGACTGCATTTTGGAATAATTTGGGACTGTGTGAAGTGGAATAAGTGCTGAAAGTTAGTTCCAGTACTTTATGGAGGTGTTAACTGCTATTCTGGACTTCTTGGTTTAGTATAATCAAGTAGTGTTTATTGAAGCCTTCCTTGATTGAATTATATTGTATAAGGTTGGTTGTACCTTGCTGATTGTGAATATGTTAGTTAATATCAGATGTTCAACTTCATGAGTTGAAAGACATGAATTGAATTCTTGTGATGCACAAGAATTTCCAGTTAACTAATGATAGAGTATGTGATGTTTATTGTATTGAGATCCTTAAGCTATGCTTAAGAAGAGTACCATACGTATTATTTGTGAATGAAACGTATGAATTATATGACCTAGGCGTACTATTATTCGTTGTTAACATGCTCAAGAATATTAGAGAGACCTTATAAGCTACATGATATTGGAAATCTAATTTGCAAGTGTTAGGGAGACGATGATCTTTTGCCCATGGCTGGGTAAAAGGATGTTCCTAACGTTATTTGAAACATTATTGGACATTTGTGTTACACTTATATCTTTAATAGAATTACAATACTCAAAATTATTTACAGTAATCAAAATATTAATTTAAATAAATGTGTTTCCTTTCTTATGCTTGCGTGAGAAAAAGAATGAATGGCAAAAAAGTTATTACTTCTGCCTAACTTTCTGTAGATATTAGAACGAAAGTAATGCAAGAATTCAGTCCAAGTTGAGCACCATTGTCAAGGGATATCTGTAAACTACACTAGGAAGCACAAAATAGTCCTTACAAGGATTTCTATAGGAGTGAAGGTAGGTTACCTATCTATCTTGGAACTATAAATTCTGATCTTTGCTATTAATGTTGCATTAAGCCTATTATGCATTTGATTTTGATTAAATGACTTTGAATTATGTCTCTTATGTAAAGAAGTGTTAGAAGTCTAAAAAGTGGCATACCTAAATTTTTCCTCAAATTCCTCTTGAACTTGAATATTTTATCCAAAATGTTTGATGTGGTTTGAGGTGTGATGTATTTAATCAAGGAGGTTTCTAATTGAAACTATACTGGTTCCTAAGTTTGTTGAGACACCTTAGTTTCAAAACCTTTTGATGGTTAAAAGTTTTTACCAAGTTGCTTTTAAGGTGCATGCCTGTAATTGTAAAGAGTTTGAAATCATCACATTATGATCTTTAATTGCAATAGCTGGGGTGAAGTTAATATGAACGTTGAAGAAATTTGAGGTTGAGCACTTCATTAAGGGAGTGATAGGAAAGTGGGTTGCCAATAGGTAATAGAAACTTGAAGGATCAAGGTTCTATTTTTGAAGCATATTGTGATTTGGAGGACCAAATCCTTTTAAGGTAGGGAGTATGTAACACCCCACATACCTTAGTGAATAATTTAAAAATTACTGTCATTTAGTTTATAGTTTTAAGGATTTAATTAATTGAATTTAAAGTTTAGGGGTTTTAAGTGAAACTTAGTAGAAATTGAATGGCCTTAACTCAATTATTTCAATTTTACTTACCACATAGCATTCTCCCAACCAAGTTTTTTTTCATTGTGGGTGGAACTTGGATAAGCCCCCAGAAGGCTCCCAAAAGTCTCCATTTTTTTTGTCCCGCGTCTTGCTTCTTCTAGCCATCCCCTGCATCCTTTTCTTCTTTCTTTCTACAGCCAAGGTTGAGGTGTTTTTTAGGTAAGTATAAGTTTTAGTTATGAATTTTGAGTTAAAGTTTTGGGTAGTTTAAATTGGTGAGATTTGACTTTAATCCTTTGGTTTATAATATTTTTGGATATTAAACTTTTATTAAAAATATCCTTAATTTTGGGGTTTATATGGGAAAGATAGTGAATTAATCCTTTTTATTGTTTGATTTGGGTGTAAATTTTTTCTGTAGAAATTATAAGTAAATTGTATTGTTTACGAATTACTATTTATGATTACTGTTTACGATTACTGTTCACGCACTATGCTTTGATCTCTTTCAATAGGAAGTCCTAATATTATTTTGGACATATTATGAATTTGTTTGGCATGCGTATATGTTTGTGGTTATGGAGTAAGTGGACCTAAGGTTAAAGCTTGGAGTATTCAGTGGACCCTTCGAGGTATTTAATGGACCTCTGCGCAATAGGGTTAGTACTGTGATTAGCTACGGTACAGTGTTGTTAGCACACCTCAGTAGACTCCATAGCATTGTGTGTTTTTCGATTTTATGCATTGCGCTTGTGACATTGTATTTGTGAGCATATGATTTTAGTATATGAATTCAATTTAAATGTCATTGATTATTACTTAACATTTGTGCTTATGATTTGAGATATTAAGTCATTATTTAAATAGTGAGAATTATAATATTATGTGATTTGATTCCGTTATATCTTATGCTATTTGTGTGAATAGGTTTAAAGATCTTAGGACCCAAGTTTATAACTTAAACTTACTACTTATTGAGTTTTTAGCTCAAAAAATTCCCCCCCCCCCATTCAAATTAGTAGACTGGAGTAATGGCCACTCAGCTTGAGAGCTCTCGGTGTAAATCTCGTATATCGACCTCAGTGTTTTCGATGTGAAGACGAATTAATGTATTACCAAAACGATGATTTTGCTTTTATTATTTTAGAAAGTATTTGAAAAGCAATTGCTCTCATGTATTTCTTTGTATAAGTTACTTTTATGTATATGACATTAAGATTAATTTAAATGGGCATAACCTAATTTATTTTATAACTTTGAGTATTTCGATATTTTTCTTAGGATATTTTTCATTTAAATAGTTTTTCTTTGCAGATGAAGGATTTTCCTTCGATCAAACTTTAAATTGTTTTGAAAGCAGATTTTTCCTTAAAGAGAAACGTTTTATATAAGGAGAGTTTTTACTTTCGTTACAATATTTTTTTATAGATAATTCTTATTGTATTTTTTATCTTGAGGAGTACATTTCCCTACTTGATAAACTGAGGGTTATCAAAAAAGGAATGTTACAAGGACCAAGGAAAACGGAGTAAAGACATGCTTTGTTGGAATCCAGGAGTAAGACTATTAAGCTAAGGACAGTAGAGAGTTAGCCCCAACATTAACTGCCTGGTAGTATATCTCTAACCATATATCGGGATAGTCCTATCAAAGAATGACATGATATATCAAATGAAAAGGTAAAAGAATGACGTGATATACCAAAGTTAATTCCCATAAGACACCCAAATAGGATAAGGCTGATAGTAGAGAGTTAGACCCAACATCTACCTCCGCCTGAGTATATCACTAACTAACTATATATCCGCGTGCATACTGCTATTAATATTTCCAAATGAAAAAGTTAAAAGAGTATGACATGATATACTGCATATCTTACAACAAGTTAATAACCACAATGTATAAAGCCAATGGCTTAATGGAAATAACTTCAGATTAGTGCCACCATGCTGTGTGGTTTAGGCACTAACAAACAAAAAACAGCACTAATGCAAGAGAAAGGAAGCAAAATATAGTTTTAAAACAGGCACATAAATAAGCAATACTTCAATTTCCCTATTAACAATAGGCTATAAGCAAGTATTGGGGTGGATCAGGGTGAACACACACATAAAAGCCAAAAAGAAGATGGTGAAAGAAGAGAACCAGGGTTGAAT